CGCCCCATCTGGTTTCGGGGACTATAGCCTTGCCAACAGGTAAGAGGGCCACAAGGCTGGAAATAAGGAGGCCTTGGGAAAACAAGCCACTGAGGATACAAAACCTGCCCCAATGGCGGGGGCGCAGCCCCTGTCTCCCTCACATCACCCTGCTTGGCCCTGTGATGGTCGGTTGTTGATGATGGGTAAATTCTCTAGCGAGAAGAGATGATCTAAGACAAACATCGGCCAGTATGGGCAAGGGGACAAGGACTTGGGGGAACACAGAGAAAGGGCAAAAAGGCCCGCACCTTTCAGCTTGGCTTGGACATGGCCAGAGTCTTCATTCTACCTGAAAGAAGTCTCCTTATTTCTTGCTGGCTCTGCCCTACCTGCCTGGCTCAGGCTTGAAACAATACTAAAGGCAGGTACAACCCTAAACTGGATCGGGCATTCCCTGGGAGTTTCCAGGCCTAGAAGTAAATTCCTCTAAGCAAGCATTGTACTCCCCTCAAAAGCTATGATAACTGGCTAATACTGGAAAGGAGATTTACATTATTCATAGACCTTAACCTGAGGAAAATCTCTTGTGTTCCTTCAATTGTGATCCAGGATCTCTATTTGTTTTCTGTAAACATAGTCTTTTGACATTGATTGATGAGCTTTGCATCCATACTCCTGTGCATATGATTCTCAATAAAAACCTTTGGACATGGGGATTTGGGGCCGTCTCCACTAGAGGGAAGCTGCCATGTCCCCTCTCCTGGCAAAGAGAGAAGTGTTTGCAATGACTCGTGTTTATTCCCCCATCCATGGCAACCCCCGTACAGACTCTGCAGGATTCAGAGCCCTGCTCTCTCCTCAGCTGGCTCCAGACAGTAACCCTCAGATCCAGGAGAGCCTGTGCCCAGCACTCCCTGCAACGCATCACTCCCCACAACACTATATCTGATGCTTTGGGGACTGGCAAAGGACCATCTAGATAGATCTCATTAGACTTCCTAGAATTGACATGAGTAAGAGATATCTATATCCTCTACTTCTGGGTCCCAAAAAGATTACACATCCACATGAGATGTAGTAGAAAATGAGATAAATAATGTGAAGTACTTGTCAGAGAACCTGACATATTACAAAAGTTTCAATAATTGGCAGCTCCTGTTGCTAGGCAAAGGAGCTGAAAAGTTGCCAAGCTTAAGCTTCCTTTTGTCCTTGTTCTGCCTCTGATTTCATAAGACAGTTTCTAATTTCTGTCCTCATTTCAAAATGGAGGATGTAATTTTATTTATCTCCTGTCTTATAAGAAATAAATGGCTATTTTGAAGATTTAAAATGTTATATAGACTTCTGAAATCATCATCATCCTTCTTTGATAAAGTAGCTCAAATTTGATTCACATGCTTTGACTGTCCTTATCAATTCCCTTTCTATGGAACTGGTGTAAAGAAAGAGTGAAAATAAGGAATTTAAAAAATGGAGTCACTTTAACCAAGCTAGTAAATTTATTACCATTATGAAGGTTGAAGCATGAGGAAACAATTCTATTCTTACCCTAACTTGCCTGAGAACAAAAACTGTTGAACTTTCCAGCCTTATCACAATGTTTGGGTATGAATCAGTTTATTGTGTGTCAAATTACCTGGACCTACACCAGACCTCCAGATAGCCCTCTGATTACCCCCTGAAGGATTCACATATCCAGATCCCATGATATCCATCTAAGATCCATTGTCCTGAATACCAGGTGTAACCAGACCTCCTGCCATCCATCTTCCAGACCTGGAATTCATCATTCAGACCACCTGACATCTGATTGATAACTGTCCTGGACTAATCCTAAGTCTAAGAATGCAGAACTAATAATTGGCTTAATTTTTCTTTCTTCTTTGGAACACTTGCAGATCTTTGCCTGGCTGTAGGTTCCATTTTGCAAACCCTAAGACTCTTGATTAAATATCTCTAGCCAAAGCCTCTAAAAGTCTTTTTGAGTTTGTTCAACAGATGACATGCCTCTGCAGCTAAATCTATTCCCATTAATCAAAAGATGCCTCCAGCCCTGGCTGGTGTGGTCCAGTGGATTGAGTACCAGCCTGCCAACCCAAGAGTCGCCAGTTCGATTCCCAGTTAGGGCACATGTCTAGGTTTCAGGCTGGGTCTCCAGTTGGGGAAGTGCATGAGGGGCAACCACACATTGATGTTTCTCTACCTCTCTTTCTCTCTCCCTTCTCCTCTCTCTAAAAATAAAATAAAATCTTTAAAAAGAACAGATGTCTCTAGGTTAAATGGAAAAATATTTATGTGTAGAAATTATGGAAGTAAAAAATATTATGTATATTTAAAAAATATTTAAGTAGTAAAACCAGCAACAGTATACTGAAATGAAGGGAAAGTTGCAGGAAGGCAAAATTATAATCCTAGTGTCCTTTCTGAGGAGAAGGCCAATGTTTACCAAAAGGGATGTGTTATTGAAAAAAAGACATTGAAGTTGAAATAATCCATCCCTGTGCTTGGAAGTAATATTTACATTAGGAATGGACTGCAGGTGCAAAAGCTTTAGACATGTAAGAGGTAGGTGGTGATATCAGAAAATAGCCTTATTCTTCTCCCTCTTCTTTTGGAGCCAGTTTTCTATCCTGACACTAAATGGAATCTCAAACAGGTTCCACTACCTTTTGTTGACTTTCAAAAGGGAAAAGAACAAAACCCTGCTCATGTTTAGTCCCACAAAAAAGGTACAGCTCTGGATGAATATATCTAATTCACTTTGAACTTCATTTAAATTAAACCTTCTTTCCTATGTTTGGGAGAGGACAGGCTTTTTCTCCATTTTCTTTCCTACTTTCTTCCAACGTCTCCCCACTCCCACATTCCCATTTCTTCCCCCACAGATGACGAGGTTACTTCTGTCTCCCTAAGAGTTGAAACTTGTGAGGGAGGAGTTACGGAGTCAGAAAAGGTCATATTTGCCTCCTTTGGCAAGGACAAGTATTTAAAACTGACTTTCATGAGTACTTTTGTGGGTCTTTTGAGGTCCCATCCTTCAGTCATGGTCTGTCACCTGCAGTGCCCTTGCAGGGTATATGCACCATACACCCCAGTGACTAATCACACAAAATTTGTCTTTCAAATTTAGACATGCAGAATACACTTTTAGCCTCCTTCTACTGAGGTCTCAACACTGCTCCATGTACTCCAATTAGTCCATAACTAAGAAAACTCCACACTAGCTCTGGTGACCCATCACTGACTGGGGTGCCGCTACTTTTTTAAAGAGAACCCTCTCTTTCTTCTGCCTCCTGGCAGATGGATCCACCCATAGCCTTTTACCTTTCAGAATTCTTAAGCAGGAGCCATACAGCCCCCTGTGTCCTCCAAACTGCAGAGGACAAATACACTGCACTCTGAGCAAATTTAAAGCCATGCTCATTAGGCTGAATTGAAAAAGACTGTAGGTACCTGCCATGCTGCCATAGGAGACATTAAACTTTCTGTAACACTAATCTGCTTAAAACAGCAAGTCATGAGGAAAAAAATAAACGAACAAGTCATTCGTACAAACTGAGCCCATAATTAGACCCAGTATAGATGAAAATGCAGTATATCTTAAACATGTCAACAACTGTTCATCAGAAAAAATATAGCTTACTTAAAAAAGTGATCTTAATATCATAATAAGATCTCCATCTGGAAGGAAAATAGAGTGATAGCTCTGCCTAAAATCATATTTGAAAATAAAAAGAGCAATAGACAAAAGAATTTAATATAGACAGTAATAAATAATACTTGAAAAAAATAAGGAACTGTTAGGGTCAGAAAAAAACTTGAAAAAGACAAAAAAAACCCCAAGAAACTAAAATGGAAAAAATTACAAAGTTGCAAAAAACAGCAACAATAAGGTTTTAAAAAGATGTGCAGAAAATGTTTGAATATATAAGAAGCAGAAGTTTATGTCTCTAATGTAAATAAAGAATTCCCCTCAATTGATTTTTAAAAGAAGTAGGTATGAATTAGGTTTACTAAAAGAGGAAATGCAAACAGACAAAAAGGTTTATAAAAAGGCTTTTATAAAAGATGCTAATTCTCACTAATAGCCAAGGATATGCAATTCAAAGCAACACAATACCCTTGTTTTTTCATATAATAAATTAACAAAATTTTTAAAGATTTATACCATCCACTGGGATAGAGAAATGATGGGGTCATGAATGGCAGTACACATTTTTTTTTTGTAATTTCACTTTTGGTAATCCATTCTATAAAAAGGGACACATTTCTTTCTAAGGATATATAGGTCAAGAATAATTTAGATATATCTGTTAACCCAAAGGAATGTCCGTAGTACACAGTTAAATGAATACAGCAACAAGTCAAATCATATATATAATGATCATCCCATTTATGTAAATAAAAGTAGGGGGAGGAGCATATGTATATAAAAACAGATAGTTATATATATTTTATATATTACGTTACATGGGCATAGAAAAAAAATAAAAAGATATGTACCAAACTGACTTTTTCTTCTTACGATTTGTGTTATTTGGCCTTTAAAAAAATAACTCTCATTTTTGAACATTGAAAGAAAACTCCAATGGGGTGGGTGTGTGTCATGCTAAGATTTCAGGGGACAGGGAGAAATGTGGAGAACATAGCAGCTGATCAAAAACTAGAAGGACGGAGTTGGAGGAACCGGATAAACAAAGAGAGGCTTTCAGGCCATGGACAAAGTAGGAGAAAGTCAGCAGTATCTGGAATCATTTAACCCTCTTCCAATACTCCAAACCACCTATAACTACATATTGAAACAAATGCAAGTATATACTCATATGTTTGCTTATGAAAAATCATTATTGTTATTCTGATGCAACCCTGCATGAAATACAATTGTCACTATCAGGAAGTGAAAGCCAAAATAATCCGAAAAAAGTCTTATAGTAAATGGGTTTTAAATCTATTTTTTTTCCAAACAAAAGCAACTGAATTGCAATCAATGACAACCCAAATAAATGAATTTCTTTTACCTTAGTATTCACCATCATCTTCATTCACTGCTGTCATTCACTGCTGCTTCAATACTGTAAGATCATCAGATTTCTAAAAAATTATATATTAAGTAACAAATATGAATAAATCTCTGCACACACATAAGCTGGAGTGTCTTGCTCTGAATCAGAGCTTCAAATAAAGGGATCTTTGTTTATATAAGTTTTAATCCTTTGATAAAGTTTCTCTGGCTCTGAGGATTGCATAAATCAGGTTATAGAAAAGATTAGTCTCTTGGAGCCAGAGGCTCCTCCTTGATGGTTTAGTTTCCTTTTTTTTCAACAGTTAACTCTTTTGTGTCTATTGCTTGTACTACCACATCATGTCCAAAGGTTGCAGAAAAACTCAGCAGGTTGTTAATGTTTTTTAACTTGCCAGCCTTCTGTTTTCTCAGTTTTTTTTTTTTTTCTCTCTCTTGTGATTAGGAAGAGAAATCAAAGATTTACTGATTTAATCACTTAGTAAACTAAGATGCTTAAAAATTGAGCTGAAGTTAAAGTCTCTGTTTAGTTGGATAACCCAAGAAAAGACACCAAATAGAAACAGACTTGAAAGAATAGTGTTGCTATAGACAGGAACATTCATTTCTGTAGGGTAGCACCAACATTTGGGGGAAAGCAACAACATTTTTGTACAGTCGGCCAACATGAGTAAAACCATTGTTTACCCATTATTCTACTAGTGACTTGCTAGCTGGATTGGATGGGTGAAAATTTAGAGGCCTTTTCAGGCATTGAGGTGGTCATATCCAGGTAGAATTTGGGGTGGAGTGGAAATGATAGCCTGGATCAACATTTTAAAGGGAAACATAATAAGAATGGTGTGGAATGCTGAAAAGCTCTGGCTTTTAAAAACCCTTGTCCAGCACTGACTAGCTGTGATCTTAATTAGACAAGTTCATTAGCCTCAGTTTTTCTACCTAAGCTGTAGGACAATTATAGCACCTACTCAAGGAATTGCTGAAATTTTTGTTCTTTCATTTGCTAAATATTTGCTGAGTGCCCAGTCCGTGCCAAATACTATTCTAGATGCAAGAAATATAATAATAAGCAAAACGGTCTAGATCTCTACCTTGTAAATTTTGTTTGTTCTGACTGAAGGGAAGAAAATAAACAAGTTAGCATAACAAAATTAAGAGGGAATCTTTTCCCTCTCCTAGGTCTATTTAACAAATACATACAGAAAGCAGTGAGGGTATGTGTGTGTGTGTGTAATTAATAACCAAATTAGTTAAACTGTTTTTTCTACAATGTATTCTGTCTATCCAAGATAATATTTAGCAATTCTCAAATATTATTTGTACTGTTTCTCAGCCTCTACGGGTGAGACTTCTTTCACTGTTTTCAACTATTTAATTTTAAAGAAGGATAGACATAAAAATATCCACTCATCCTATTTCCCTGAGGACAAAATCTGGGAACTGCTTCAAAAGTGGGCAGGGGGTGGACGTAGATAGTGGAGAAGAGGTGCTCTGATCCCTCCTGTCACCTCACCAGAGTGGAAATGGAAATTCCAACTTTTAATTTCTCATAAGAAGCCCCAACAGAAAGCCACCTTCCCTAGGGTAGAAGAAACCAAGCATGGTGTATTCAACCTGATTAGGTTGGTGTAGTTGGAGCAGGGTGAACTCAGGGTAAGGAGAGAATTAGACACGATGAAGCCAGGGTGCTGAGCAGAAGCCAGACCGCATACTCTGCTGTATGCACAGCAAGGAGTTAAGATTGCATTCTATCAGAAAAGGAAAGCCATGAAAAGATGTGAGCAGGGAAATGACTTGATTAAGGTTGTGTTTCTAAAAAAAAAAAAAAAAAAATCGATTTGGCTGCTGTCTAGAGAAAACGCTGGGCATAAGAAGCAAGAGTGGAGCCAGGATGCTACTGCGAAAGTCCAGGCACAAGATCTGCAATGGCTTGGAGAAAGGTGTTGGCACCAGCAGTGCAAGAGGTACCTGCACACAATCAGAATATGTTCAGGAAAAAGACTGAAGACTGCATGGATGGAAATTCTCTAGGAGCTTTTCCATAAGGGAAATATTTAGAAACCCTGTGGCAACTCCCTGGACAAGGGCTCTCAATATCTATGGCACCTGATTATTTTCTCCGGTGCCTTCGCTATTCTGTTAAGTTTTTCACAAAATAGTTTCCCTGACTTTGATGGGCCTGCCCAACATATACAAAATTAATGGTTACTATACAACAAATGGACTTACTAACAACCCTAGGGAAAGTAGTTTTAAAACATTGATAGTTGGCCTTTGGTCATAAACAACACACTCTTTTAGTTTGTTTGTTTGTCTTTATCAGCTACCTTTTTCAATTAAGAAATAATGCCTCCTCTTTGAATAAATTATCTACCCAAGGTCGTCATCCATCCCTCAATAACACTGAAAAACAGAGTCCTTTAAACTGTCACTCTTCCCCTGGCTCTGCTTCCAATGTTTAATGTGATCCTTATCTTTCAGTATATCTTACCACATGGAATGTTGTACCCAAAGACCTGTGCATATGCCTCTCCACACATAGCTGGTGAATCCACCTGAGACCCTAAACTGTTCACTAAAGAAGTATATAGTCTCTTCTCTGTGGAAAGAAATCCAGTGTGGTCCATATCATGCTGAGGATACTGGTGCTATAAGTTGCCAAATAAAAGCTCTAGACAAGCATCTGACTCAGGAAAGCTAACTTTGATTACTTTTATAGTGTGGGGGGTTTTTTGTTTGTTTTTGAAAAGACAGAGTACTAAACTTCAAGTAAGCTTGTTATCAACTCTAAAAAATAAGAAGGAAAAAGAATATGTCCAAAGATCCTCAAAGCTATCCTGAACTATATTCTGAATGGCTGGTAGAATAAAGCTTACTTGCTTTAAAATGCATCAAACTAATAAATAGGCAGTGAAGGTATAGACAGTTTGTAGATCACCCCTTTAAAGGCATCTTACATTTTGAAAGTCCTGGTCCCCAAAGAAAACTAAGAAGCTTCCTTTAGACTCTGCATTGTTTGCTTTCCTTCAAATCCTCATCTGAATTCTGAAGTCTCATGTAAACTTAAAAATATTTCCAAGACTAAAAAGGAGAAATTTAATTTAACTTTCATGTAAATCTGTCTTGGATTCATATGAACTTCAAAAAGATTAGTGGATAATGCAGTATTAGCAGTATTATTTGAAACATTTTTTTCTTTTTAAAACATATGAAATTCTTTAAGAAGCACAACCTATTTATAATGTCAATATTTTATATCAGCTGAAATAAACTAGTCACTTCCATTTGTTACCATAATTTAATATTTTTCTTATTTGGTAGGATATATGCTTTACCTTATTTATACTTTTATTTATTTTATGGGAAATACAAGTGATTCAATAAACAAAAAGTATAAATATGAAGTGTTGCTCTTTTCTATTCCCTTAGTATAATAACTAGCTATAGAATATGTTTTATTTATTTATGAAAAAACAATCTGAATTTCTCTAATTTTCAATGTAGTGAATATTAAAATGTTGCCTTACATACTAAAATGGTAAATAATTAAGTATCAAGATAGTTAAATAATAATTCCTTCAAGTGTTGTCATAATAATTTTATACATGGAAAGTATAGCAATGAACAAATAAATGTCATGGAACACAAGTATAAATGTTTTATTCAAAAATAGCATGAAAGCTATTATAAGGTCCAAAATATTCTTTATTTACACAGTATACAGGAAAATATATATAAATTGTATTATTATAACATTTCATACTGACAAGGATATCTTTTAGAAATTTTAATTATGACTCAAAATATTTTAAAAGGCTAAAGAGAATTCCCAATTCTCTATAATAGTAAAAATGAATAATAAAAATATATTTGACTTTGGAATTTTTTGTGTGTGCTTATAATATAATAGGAGTGTTTTCTGTTGATATGGATTGAAACTGAAATTGAACTATGAAGCTCCAATGTATGGCTTTGAAAAAGTATGGGAACTCTATAAATCTATCAAAGAGAGTTGGAAACCATAAGAGAAAAGCTACCTATTGTAATAAAAGGACTGACTCCATTTGTGATATTTGCTGGCAGCTTTCAAGCCTCACCCTTTCCCCTTCTGCCCCATGCAGGGTCAAGTTGAGAATGTTTGGGCATGCCTACCTTTGGGACTGGCAATAAATTCAAACCACAGCATGGCCTGGCCTACATGTGCTGGAACACTCACCCCAACCCAATCCCCTAATCATAATAAAAACAGAGTTGGTCTCCTTTCCTTGCTCTCACAAACCATTATTGAATCAGCTTGAGAGAGTGCCCTACTCTCCCCGGAAAGTCCAGAAAACCTTATTATGTGAGTACTAAATCTTTTAATTAACTCATGGTGGGCGTGTGTATTATCAAATCTTTACATCAAAACCAAATTATGGGTGTATCCTGGTACTGTGGACTAATTACAACATCTATTTACCCAGAACAACCTGATCTACAAATATAGCAAACTATTTAAGAAATAAAAGCCATTTCACAGGACCAATTCATACCTCAAATTGGTGAGTGTAACCATACAATGTGAGCCCAGCCTTTATAAGATCAGGTTTACTATAATTATTCTGAAACCTCAAGAAATATTTATGTGGTATATATCACTTACGTCACTGTGCTAAGTGCTGGGACTGGGGGCATTGGCAAGAATATAGAAAAACAGAATCCCCTTCCTGGAAGAGGAAACCCAATAGGGACACACCCAACTTTAACACAATAAACATTGTTAAATGCAATAAAGTACTATAAACATGATTATTTCTGCCTGAGAATCGTGGGGAAGTTAGCATCTGAGTTCACCATTCATAGATTCACGATATCTACATGTGGAACAAGAGAGCCTGGAATTGAAGAGACAGGAAAAGTTTTTTGCCCTCACTGATGTTGCTCACTGGATTTACCACCCGCCAGCAAACCAAAGGGTCACCGGTTCAATTCCCAGTATAGAGCACATGCTTGGGTTGCACACCAGCTCCCAGCAGGAGGCACATGAAATGCAACCATACATTGATGTTTCTCTCCCTCTCTTTTCTCCTCTCTTTCCTTCTCTAAAAATAAAATCTTTTTTTAAAGAAAGAAATTTTTTGATGTGTTTAGGAAACTGAAACTGTGCCAAAAGGAATAGTGGTGGAGAAGGAAAATAACTACATTTCCCCTTTAGTAAGATAACTCTTAGGCAGAAGAGAG